TAAACACGAAAATCAGTTCTAAATAAATGCGTTTTCAATCTAGATTTAAAAGTGCATAGCTCCAGTAGCTTCCTAATATCGTAAGTAAGAGCGTTCCAGACGGTCGTAGATGCGCATCTGAAAGCGAGCGATGTGGTGACCGTCTTTGTTCGATGGCTGACCCGAGTTGGTAGGACAGCTTATGCTCCTTGACAAAATCAACGTGTGTGTGTGTTGGATAGAGCGGTTGCGTGATGCTTAGCACCGAACCCTGGTCACCTGAGTTCGACTCGCGTTCACGGATAACATCATTGGCGATTTCTATATGAACCGGTCCCGTGGCTCGCCTAGGTTGACTCGGCCTCAAATCAGTACCTCGTGGCACGTGTAAAATATCAGAGCTTTTAAGATAAGTGCGGACGGATGTGGTGCTGGCCACGCAAATTCACACGTGCCATTGTGCTGGGCCCTTCATAGGCGCTCGCGAACGACACTTGTCCCAACAGTCTGTATGACTATACGGGGGGTCTTTGTCTTTGTCTTATCGCACCCAACGTGCGTAATCTTACCCGTGTTTGTTATGTCCGTGCGAGTGTCAGTGCAGCTTTACTCTCAAGGCGACTCTGCCACTATAGGGCCTCGTATCTCCAGCGCCGACGCGAGACAATGTCGTCAGTTATAATCTACACGTACGATGCAATGCGATATTGTTCCATACAGCGTCTAAATGCATTTGCACCTCGCTGACACAATCGGATGTCGTTGTCTGCAATAAGCACGTGTGCAACTTGGGCTTGCAGATATACATCATCTTACCGGGCAGAATGTTGTTGATATTAACAAGGCCTTTTATAAGGTGCATTTTACCGTACAGGAATCATACAACAACAACAATACAAATTGCAGTCCTTTGTCAATCAACTGCCGAATCAAGGCCTGCCCACGCAGTGTCGTCGGTGTTGACAGCTCATGGAACTTGCTTCACCGCGACGATTGAGTGCGGGTTGTTGGTGACGGGGATAAGGGGGTAACAATCGCCCTTCAAATATCGCTCGCTATCCAATGACAATTGAACTTATTTTGCCCGGGTTCACGGCGCAGGGCAATAACTGCTGCGCCACCGCTCCGCCAAATAACGCTCTCGGATATTAGTATTCGAGTATAGAGTACAGATATTAGTATTGTCGGTTTTTCTTACTGAAAAGATCGCGTCGTGTTGTGACGGCCTGTCAGGCGAGCTGTGACTCGGTCAGCATCACGTTGTGATCTCGTCCCTTCAATATTTTCCTCCCGCTGGTATTTAACCAATGCAACTTTAAACACGGAAAAGATAACATAATGTATACTTCATATACGATAAATAGACGCGTTGCGTACAAAAAAAGAAAGAACGATAGGCGCAGGAAGGAAAACTATCCAATTATATTGAACACATAAATGTCAAGATATACTGTGGATGGCGAAGATAGATAGGCAATAAAAATTGTATTGGCAAAAAAATTGTGGCAATGTGTGATGCTTAGCCCACAGGTACATCACGCGTGTGAGGCAGATACATGCCTTAAGATGTTGGTTTACATGAACACAACTTTCACGTAGACAAACAAACACAGAGAGCTGAATACGTTTTGAGAATGAGATCCCGTCATGAAATAAATTGGGACCGGTGTCTTTTGATGTCCCATCTTTGGCCAAAAACTCTGTCGTACAACCATATCCCGTTTCAATTGCACATTGCAACATATGGGAAAATAAAGTACGAGCATCATCATCAGCAGCAGCCATGGTCAATCCACTACTGGATGAAGGTATTTCTCAAGTCGCCGCTACCGCTCATGATCTTCTGATGTATAAACATCATAATCCACCTACAAAATAAAGTATAGCATGCGGTCCCACAATTGTGCAGCACAAGGGTGCCAACACCGTCAATAATTTAGTTTTATTGAAATAGAAAAAAACAGGCGACTGTCCTTCGTTTATAATACATGCACAATATCGCCGGGCCCTATTCATGTACATGTGGTTGACCTCCTGGACCCGAGCCCAAAAGGCGAAGGGGGGGTTTAATTGTCCGTGTTCAAAAACACACACAATCATATTAGACGCTTTGCGAGGCGCATTGGTTAACCCCTTTTTGTGTGCGTTTCAAGCGATTATCATGGTCTTATACGCGGCTATTGAACTTGAAGTCTGCTCAGCCGGCTGCCCGCACCACTTACATCCACCATCTCCTCCCCCCTTCACCAACCACCACCACCACCCTCCCACCACCACAACCACCACCACCACCCTCCCACCACCACAACCACCACCACCACCCTCCCACCACCACAACCACCACCACCACCCTCCCACCACCACAACCACCACCACCACCCTCCCACCACCACAACCACCACCACCACCCTCCCACCACCACAACCACCACCACCACCCTCCCACCACCACAACCACCACCACCACCCTCCCACCACCACAACCACCACCACCACCCTCCCACCACCACAACCACCACCACCACCACCCTCCCACCACCACAACCACCACCACCACCACCCTCCCACCACCACAACCACCACCACCACCCTCCCACCACCACAACCACCACCACCACCCTCCCACCACCACAACCACCACCACCACCCTCCCACCACCACAACCACCACCACCACCCTCCCACCACCACCACAACCACCACCACCCTCCCTCTCCACCCCTTCTCGTCACACACACGCCCCCGACCATATGCAGCATCTATTATCAGCGCGCCTCTATTTATTGGAATGAGTGTCATGCTGAATTATGAGAAGGCTGATTAGCGCCAGGTGCAAGCATCATCGTTGTCCTAATCGGCGTGCGAGAGATGGGGGGGGGGGGTGAGGTTTGGGCGCCTGGCCCGACCTGGTAAAGACAAAAAATCAACAAAAACCAGAAGCGCCGACTCATAATGGCCAACATTCGCCTCAGCGTCGCGGGAATAAATCATTGGGCGAAATAAAGGGATGAAAGAAAATAAAGAGAGAAAGGAAAAAGATTAACTCGGATAAATCCTGACTGGAGTATATTTAATTATTAAGAGGTTTGTGTTCCATTTGAATGAGCACTTTACAAACAAAGAAAGCTGCGATAACTTAGCAGTCATCATCATCATCGTCGTCAATGCGTTGATGCGATACTTGAGATTGATATGGATTTTAAATAAAAGGTTATTTTTTAATGAGATAGAAAGCCACCACTTTCACCTTTGCTGTGGACACATTCTAACCTAAGAGCATCCAGTGTGTTAGTACATATATCAATTATAAATAAAAAATATAAATAGTTAACATACAATAAAATATAAGCTGTAGGCCTACAGATTATAGAGCATGTGTGTGTGTCTTTGTCTTTTGTGTATGGGCGGCGGTAGCGGTATGGTTCGCCGCAATGCGCTTCGAAGCTGGCAGTCCAAGTTTAATTGCCGGCCACGGCTGACATCAGTTGCGATTATCCAAATCGGTCTTGAACCTTCTCTGTGTCGAGACAGCTCTAAAATGAGTACTGGACATGGTTTCACGAGTGTACACAACAGCACTGGGGAGACAAACATGTTCATGGTGTTGTGCTGGCCACGCCGTTTGAGCCTTAATAGGTGCTCGCTCATGAGAACACACCCAGCAAACCTGTGCGTGTTATACCGGGGATCTATGGTGTAACAGCACGCGTGCTGTTCACGTAAACACATTGTGTGTGTGTGTGGTAATCTCACGCTTTGTCACGGTCAAAAGTAAACTACTGTATTCTGCAGTTCTCATAATAGTATCATTTTAATACAGTATTTAAATCTAATTCCTTACAAAACATATTCAAGCGTCACCGTAAGTTTCAAAGAGCACCTCAAGTTCATGCCCTCCCAAACCCCCCCGCCCCTCCCTCGCCAGACGCGCGCCCCCTCCTCATCGAGTCCATAAATGAGTTCAAGTGATCGAACATCTGATGCTAATACCTTAACATCGCATCGTATTCCAGAGGAGCCAGACAATAACAAACCACTACTACCGATCCTTCGCTTAGAAAACAAATCTTGATTTATTTATGTCCGTTTTTAGATGTTGTTGTTTTCCCTTGGGTTTTTTTAAATATACGCACGTATCATGTATCAAAATTCCGCTCGGTAAAGTCGACGCCTATGGCACTCGTATAGGAGGGGGAAACTGGAACGCAGAGAGCCGCGTTCGTGACATTGAAAAAAAGGGGGGTTAATGTTTCCAGTGGGCCACGGACTTTTCGAGAACACGAGAACATGACAGACGGATACGACTGTTGCACCACTTAACCGGACGGTGTACACAATTAGCCTAACACTGAAGAAACACTGTGTGCTCGATTGGAACATTATTCATGTTGTACACGTAAGTATATATATATACAGCACAACGTCACGTGGTGTAATGAGAGGCTATTACGCAAGGGGCAAGAAGGAACATGTCGATGGTGATTAGCAATAGGACATCTTCTCTCAGCAGATTCATGGACGACAAGGTCTTGGAACAACGCATGTGACATTTATTAAACCAATGGCCAAAATTACGAAATCACTTTTTTTGTAGTAAGTCAAATGACAAAATATCATACAGATACAAATTTTCTATAAGCTTAGTCCAATTTGTTGTTGCTGTTGTAGCTGTGTTTGCCTTTATCCCTTTTTTTTGTAATACAGTATTTGTATTTTGATTGTCTTTTATCTACAAATCCCAACAATATACAATACACTGTATCCAGAACAGCCATTCATCTACTCTAATTTCCCAGCACACCATTTAAAATGACACGAAAACATTGATAGTGTTGAACATATTATTATCACGAGAATTCACTGATATACTGTAGCAAATGAAACGTGCACCGTATTTACAATCCCCAATAAAACTGCACATAAATAAATAGACATTCACGTCAAAAAGACTCCCCCCCCTCCCGCATCCCCCTCCACCCCTCCCCTCCACCCCCTCCCCCCACCCCTCCCCTCCCGCCCTCCCTCCCGTCGAAATTATATCCTAAATCGAGCGAAAGCGCCGAGACTCGGACCTGTCCAATGTGCGAGTCGGCACAGCACTGGAGGCTACGACGCACTCAGCTGGAGAATTAACCGCTAACAATTTGGGGCAGTCTGTTTAACACGGGCGACACAATTAGAATGCATTGAGGACCGTTGACCCGTGGCACGGGGGAAATAATAAGGGAGGGGGGGGGGTTGGACGAAGAGAAACCCTCTTCAACAGCGATTGAATCGCGTATTCGTAGGCGGCTCTTTCTCTCTCCGTGGTCTTCTTCCGCTTATTATTTCGTTCGCTGCCTTTTAGTGGTGTTGTTTTTTCCCCCCTCTCCTAAATTTGAGACAACGCGGCTATAAACTGAAACCACTGGAAGGTGAACAGAGTCCCGGTTTCAGAGCGTCCTTCCTTGCCCGATGTCACGGATAGAGCTTGCTTTGTTTGTGTTATCCTCCTTGCACACGCGACGACGACTTTCATCCTCCACACTCTCCTCCTCCTCCTCCTCCACCACCACCACCACCTCCTTCTCCACCTCCCAGCCCCCTCCAGCATCATCACTTTCGGTGCTTCTCGTCTTTGTCGCTCGCTTTGCCCGAGTTCTCCGCATTACTGTGACTGTTGCTGGAGCTGTTCAGGTACATCTTGTCCATGGCCTTCAGAGACTCGTTCAGGTAGTTCTGCAGGGCGGTCATCGCTGCGCAGATGGCGGGGCTGCCGAAGCCGTGCGTGATGAGGCTGAAGTGCGTTAGGCAGCTCTGAATGCCCGGCTCCAGGATGGGGGGAGGTCGCGTGTTGCCCAGCGGGGAACGGTCCTGTGTCAACAGGTCCATGAACTCTTTACAGATTTGCCTGCGAGTGAAGAGAAAGGTCGTGTTGAGGGGAGGGGGGTAGGGAAGCGGGATAGGGGGAGGCGAGTGGCGGGGAGAGAGGGTGAGGTGAGTGCGGTGTTAAGCCGCGAGCTTGTCTCTTTGGCGAGAGTCCGTTTAAATAAATACGGGGCAGTTTTGAGATCAACCTGGCGATGTGCACGTATCAATAATACCTAATTTACACGTCACAGTCATTTGTCAAGCCTCCTGTCGGATCAATCGTGTCGTGTCGGTCACGAGGGCTCTTTGGCCATACTTCGGGTCCAACGAACGGTTGCGTGAAGGGGACCCGTTCAGATATTATAACCAATACATTGTTAAATCTTGACTGAAAGCTTTCGTGACTGCAGGAATTCATATTCTTTGGATCTTTCGGTAAAGTTACGTAGATAGGTTCAAAGAAAAAAATAACAAAAAACGACGACGTTTCGATCACAACACAAGCGATCGTCATCAGGAGGAAACGTGATGACGATTGCTTGTGTTGTGATCGAAACGTGTATTTGTTTTGTTATTTTCTTTGAACCTATCTACGTGACTTTACCGAAAGACCGAAACAATAGACTGCTAGCCATGGCCAGGAATCGAACTCAAGCGGCGCTGGGTTCACGGTGAAGTGTGCTAACCAGTGCGCCACCACTCCCCCCGTGAATTAATAGAGGTCAAACATATTAACTCAACTTCCGTTTTCTGTATCCTCACATTAAAATTAAATATATCTACATATTTTAGTATATTCGCTTTCGTTTTTCCGGCACCACCTTAACCCTTTAGTCACGCGATCTTTGTGCTCATCAGTAGAGTAAACACATTGAAATATGTTAAATATATCCCGTTAAATGTGATATGTCACGAATGTTTTGCGGGGAATTTACATATCGATGTACGGCGTTATTATATGCTGCTGTAGTGTGCAATGATGCATTATTGCAATACGCAAGTCTATTTTTTTATATATTCATCTTAGAACGCAACACAAGTACCTGAGCTGCCGTTCGGTATAATTTAGAATAAATGAATTAAACAATTATAATATTATTATCACACACGTGATGGTCACTTGCGAAGCAGTCCTCAATGTAACGAAATCCGGCAAGTAGTTAAACAACAGTAGCAAGCATCACCATACTCCATACAATACAGTCTACATGCAGTCTACATGCAGTCTACATGCAGTCTACATGCGGTCTACATGCGGTCCACATGCGGTCTACATGCAGTCCACATGCGGTCTACATGAGGTCTACATGCAGTCTACATGCGGTCAACATGCAGTCTACATGCGGTCTACATGCGGTCTACATGCAGTCTACATGCGGTCTACATACGGTCTACAACGCGTTCCAGCGGGGTACTCCCCTTGAACAACGCACGCGCGCGCAGGCACTAAATTACACTCAGGACATCTTTTAATTGAAAAAATTGAAGCACCGAAACAATTTTTTTTCGTACTTTGCACTGGCATATTATCGTGTGGGGGGTCCAAATGAATGAAACGTGAATGGACGTTATATAGCCTCCCTCGCACGCGCAACGGTGTCATTGGTTTTTATTGAGCTGGATTCAAGAGAAGGCAAAGCGCCGCATGCAATGGCCCGTGTAATGCCGCATATAAACTGTAATTACTTAAGGAATTAAACATATATATATAATTTTACTGTAGACAAATCGTACAGGTAAACACACGTGGCGATTATTGTTTTTTTTATTTCCGTAATTTTAAAATAACGCGGACCGTGTGTTTTGTTTTTATCACTATAATCGATACTCATTTATCTTTACGGTAACTCGATACATTCGTCAATACACCCCTCCCCTAATGGGAAACCTCACGGACAGACGTTTCGGGCAATGCTCCCTTCTCCAGCAGCTATGAAGAATGGGCCGCTGTCGAGTTTGTGTTATTGTTCGCGTGTGCACCACCGCCAACACAGCAGACTGTATACAATAAAAGCTTACAATTAAATTACATTTTTTTTCTATTTAAAAAAACATTCTCGTATTAACAATGTGCTTAGACATGAACCTTACATTTACGTAGATACCTATATACCTATTTTTTTAATTATCCAATTCTCAAAACGTGTCGATCGCTCTTCATCGGTAGCCTCATTGCGTGACCTTCGCATTAAGGCGGTCGACAGATCAACATCGACTCTGAGCAGCAATTGCCAATTAACGGCTCCACTCGAACGCTGGATTGCCACGTGCGCCGAGGTGCCGTTTTAATTAACCTCGCAACTGCCGCGCTCCTCAAACGCCAACTGTGGGGAATTGTCGCAAATCGCTTCGCGTCGCTGCCGAGCCCAGCGCCCCCGTGCACGTGATTGTCGTCGAGTGCACAGGCACTGCAACTGCGCCCGAAGGACGCGCACGACGGGGAGACGAACACGGGGCACGACATCAATCCTCGTGCCAGGCTCGTGCCAACCAACGACGCTACTGCTCTGGACAACGGTGTCCGCTCTATCCCGAACCGCGACCCTATCCGTATGCATCCATGAATGTCGAACTTTTTTCGCACCGTACGTAGCCAACCGCGCTAATCGGAGGTGCGGGAGAAGGAAAACAATGAACTATTTTCTTGAGAACTACGTCTAGTACTTTAGTTTTGCTTTCCTTCCCCCGCACCTCCGATTAGCACCGTTGGCTACGTACGGTGCGAAAGAAGTTCTACATGCACACAACGGCCATTGTTTCTAGATCAATTCTGATCGTGGCAGAAGCACGGTGCTTTGTCACTGCATGGCATTAGGGGCCATCCATTTAGCACGAACGCAAAAATATGTTAAAACATGATCCCTCCCCCCTCCCTGTACGCACGCGGACTTTTTACCCCCCCCCCCCCCACCTGTGTACGTAGCTTGACGCACCCCCCCCCCCCGAATCCTATAGAACGACCGATATTTAATCCACGCAGAAACGATCAAGGATGAATAATATTAACGTGTTTAAGAAAACAGACAGTCCACCGCCGGACTATCTAACTCATTTTAAGGCTAATGTAGACAAATTATTATCGAAGCTTCACTCCCCCCCGTTTCCGATGCGTACGCACATTGTCAGTAGACCCCCCATACGCAAGCGAACGCATTTGGGTTAACCCCCTCTCCCCCCTCCATGCGTACGAACTAAATGGATGGCCCTTTACCACTGCTTATTGCTTAGACGCCATGCACACAGTCTTCATGTACAATCACAGTCAAGCATTGCACTGAAGCGAAATAAATACCGAATGATGTGTTCAATATGAAGATGCGTGCACCCCTCTGTCAATCCACTGCTGCGTAAAACAAACAAAAGCCTCTCCCCCATGCCGCGTCAGTCACGAGGGTTCTCGTTCGGCGATATTTCACCCGGCCGGTTCTAGTGCGGGACGGTGAGGATGGTTGGTGCTGGGCAGAACCGATCCGTGCCTCGCTCGACACTCGCGTTAACCGTGGGCACCGGGGGGAGGAGGGGGGGCGGAATCGAACTCGGGTATTGAACGGCTCCAATAACGCAACCACCGCGCTCCCACTCGAACGCATTCAGCGTGAGGAGGCGATATCCTGAAGGCTGGACACGCAGACCTAAGTCGACGACGACGACGACTTACGACTCTCGCTCATCAACCGCGCACGCCGCACGCGCTGACAGACGCCCGCGCGACCGCGCTGCGTTCAAGCGCCGCCGCCAGAGTGGCGCGCGATTGGCGTCCGCGCGGACGTGGAGTGATCGTTTAATCACCACCGCGCACTGGAACGCGCATAATGAGCAGCGCCATCAGTCAGCGCCGGCACCCGCAGCACAAAGGGGGAGGCCCCGTCTCGAGGGGGATGGGTGATGAGAGCGACGCAACGTGAGGTCCAATCAATGCCGCCTCTGTCACGATCCATTTGCTGTCATAACAACAACAATAAAAAGAAGCACGTCTCCTCTGGACAAGGAACGACGCTGCTCTTAATTTGAACCGTTTGAGACTCGTACTTCGGATGAAGCAGTCTTCCCCTCGCCCCGCGCCCTTACTCGCGTGACGGGGCGCTTTGGTGCCAAGGGGGTTGGTGAATCGCGCAGAGATTGGGCTTCGAAGGTGGCCAGGATGTGGCTGGCAGTAGCGAGAGAAATATGTTTGTTCGCCCGTCTGTGCGGACGTTGGCAGCGTCATCCACTCGTGCGTTCGGTGGGTGTTAGCCGGGTGCTTCGGTCGCCGCAAGGAATTATGGCAGATGGTCAAGAACGCTGACGGGTTGTCAGCGAATGAAAAGAACTGCGTCCAAGAGGACGTCCATCAATAAGGTGGAGCGATGAAGTTATCTCGTGTGCAGGTGCTAGGTTGGTTATTATATCGCGGATTGACGAGGCCTTCATACATTAGTGGGTTGACCATGGCTGCTGCTAATGATGATCATGATGACAGCGACTTCGGTTTCTCCCCACACGCAGAACACTCGGTGCTTTTTCTGGAAGACTTTGCTGTTTTTTCCTGGATTTTTCTGTTTGCGCATAGTCACTTTAATATGTTTCTTGTTCATGTTTTCGTTTGTTAAGGTTGCACCCGATTCAAGAGCCGAATGGCTCGCAGGGCTATACCAAATAAATGAAACTGAAACTAGGATTTGGACAAACTCCCCAACGTGAAATTGAAACTTCAAACTCATGGGGACTTTTGCGTATTGAAAAACAAAAGGTTGCATGGTGATTGCAAATGGAGTGAGCCGATCAGCAGGTCGTGTGTCGTGGGGTAGGGTATGGAAACTCCCACCTCTTCCAAGACGTCTGACCAGCGTGGAAGAGTAGGCCAAACACCCTCGTGAGCAGGCAATTGCAGAGCTGCGCCTTTATCGTCCATTGTAAAGAGAAGGGGCAACTGGCCCTGGCAAACAGATGGTGTCCTCATGACAACGTTGTTTTGGATTAGGTCACGTAAATGTAACAGTGTCCTAAACCCACTTCCACACGACACAGCCAATTAGTAATGTTTGTCACGTGAACAGAATAGTGCAAATTATTTACTACATCAGCACCACCGGTGTGTTGGAGAGCAAAACCCACGACATATGTAATTGAGTGCGACGTTTCGCTGGTGATCACAACAACCGGCATCATCAGGCATGTCTGGTATGTTCAGTTCACGTGACAAACTTGACTAATTGGCAGTGTCGGGTGGAGGTGGGAGTACAGCACATTTACATTTACGCGATGTTACCCCCCCCCCAAAAAAAAAGCCTTATCATGAACAACATTGGTCGCCAAAGCCTGCGTTGTTAGATGATGAACCATCGGGAGCGCATCTCGAAATCCGTAACGTCAGCGTTGCAGATGACGAGCATTGATGAGCACGTCCCAAAGACATGTCCCGGGGGGGGGGGGGGGGGCATTCCTCCTCACGACAAACTCGCCGATACACATACGACTAAACGATACGCATTTTTCTTCTCGGTTCTTTCGGTAAAGTCACGTAGAAGGGAGGTAATAAAATAATAAAAATAAAACATAATAAAATAATTCTCACGACGTTTCGGCCACAACGCAAGCAGCCGTCCTCAGGTGAAGAACAGATCTGTCGATAGACCTGTTCTTCACCTGAGGACGGCTGCTTGCGTTGTGGCCGAAACGTCGTGAGAATTATTTTATTATGTTTTATTTTTATTATTTTATTACCTCCCTTCTACGTGACTTTACCGAAAGAACCAAGACGATGAATCCCTGCAGTCACGAAAGCTTTAAATCGAAAGATACACATTATTTTTATCTTACCAGGTAAGGCCCACCGAGCTAGAGAGCTCTTTGTCAGAAGCGACCTGGACACAAATGGTAGCCCAACAAAGTGGATCATCATCACGTGGAAATTTAGCAGCCAAATACTCTGAGCGCATGTTGATTCTAAATGTAGAGGGAAAATCCGGAGTGCCCGGATGAAAAATCCACACGACCACGGGGAGAGAGGATATACAAACTCTAAATATACAGGCGTCGTTAGGGTCGGGATCGAACCCACGACCTCCTGCATAAAAGGCGAGGGAGTTAACATCTCCTAGCGGCCTTCTCGCCACCGCACATCGTGCAGTACACCACGAACAAGCGGCCACAGATTGCTTCCTTCGTCAACGGTGGAATCGAACCACATCGGTTTGCACTTGTACATACGTACATGTTGGACTTCTTTAGCACCATACGTCGCCAACCGTGCACAATCCGAGGTGCGAGCACGGAGAGCAATACCCCAACTTACGTCCCCGCCCCCCCCCCCCCCCCCCCTTTGCCGTCGTTTCTCAAATACGCCGTCGCTTTACGAGTCCCGCTAACCAATTTGCGACGTCTCAACTCCACACACTCCCGTCATCGATGGCATCGTCCGTCCAACCCACTACTACCACTGACCCTACTACCACTGACCCTACTACCACTGACCCTACTACCACTGACCCTACTACCACTGACCCTACTACCACTGACCCTGTCAATTGCTTTGATTTGACGTCGTTTCAATATTCGTCGTCGCACCTTTCAGAAAGGCAATCCCCCCCCCCCCACTCCACCCCCAACGTACACCGGGGCATTACTGTACAGGGTGGTCCAGACGTCTTGTGACCCACAATTAATTTGACCTCTAACATTTTTTCCCCTTTGCATATGCCTTTCTGTTTTAAATAAACCTTGTGGTGCTACATGCTCTTAGCGAGCACCTGTCAAGTCCAGAATGAATGACATCGCAAGATCGTTGAGAGATGGGTGACACTTTGCGGAGACCTTCATCCAGCAGTGGAGTAAGGTCTTGACTACGCACGGCGGGGTGGTGTGACCGTAACCCACGCTCGTCCGCTTTGACCTCCACGGTACTCTCCTGGCGTTCACACACCGCCCCAGGTACTGATTCCAGTCTGAGCCGACCTAGGGGAGGTCCATGACCGGATTCAGATATAACTCAACACCGGTGTTAGCCGTGGTCGGGAATCGAGCTCGGGTTGGCTGTCATCATCAGGGCAGTGCACTAACCACTGCAGGAGCGCCTGCCACCAACCAAAGACAAAAACCCCCCGTATAGCCTTAAGAGAGTGTTGGGGCAAGTGCTGCTAGCGAGCAACTATGAAGGCCGTCACGGCAGACGAGGGCCACCACCACGCCCTGCCGCCTTTGTCTCCCCAGTGGCGATGTTCACACCAGCTACTCATTTGTGGATGAGTCGACCTAGGGGAGGCCCAGGACCGGCTCGGCTAATCGTCACCAGTGTTGGCCGTGAGCAGGAATCGAATCCGGGTCGCCAGGTTCGTAGCGCAGCGCGCTAACCGTTGCACCACCGCTCCCCATGCCAACCAACCAACGCACACACACACACAACCGTCCTACGAGAGAACGCCTATGTGGCCCTGGAGGCGTCACACTTTGAAAGCCAGCGTGCAGCAGGGGACCTACTTTGTGGCCAGGAGCATGTTCTTGCGACTGTGCAGATCTCCTGGGTCCGAGTGCTGGCGATTTAGAAAGTCCGCTGCGGCCTTAGCGGGGAATTCTGTCTCGCAAACAAATCCAAAATCCCGGGCGAGGTGCACTGCTTCTCCTGCTCGAGAATAAAACAAGACACGCGCACACAGACGGACAGACAGGGACGACGATCCCCCATGTAGCCTTTCACAGACTGTTGAAACAAGCGCTGTTAGCGAGCGCCTATTAAGGCCCGAACGGGGCCACCTTTGACCTCTCAACACTCTGCATTGATGCTCCCACTCCGCATCAACCGGTTACTCATTTGAGGCTGAGTCGAGCTAGGGGAGGCCCATAACCGGTCCTGTGTGCTCTAACCACTACACTTACGGACGTGCGCATGCCCGCACATGCGCGCACTAACATCGTCATGCTCGGTCACATAGTGCCTTTTGACAGGATGCCACTTCGAGACAGGCTCCTATGTGCAGGCTGCCCGTTCTGAGCAATCAGGTCTCATTCATGTCCAGGCTAAGACAATCGATCTACGCATCTGCCCGTGCAGACGCGTCTCCTCTGGATTGTGCAAAATATGCGCGTGATGCATGCGATGTGTCGGAAATGTGCACGCGAGTCTCCATCCCAAAATGTTTGCGAGCGGTCTTTGAGGTTTGGTGATTCCTTATCCCCCACCCCCCCCCCCCCCTAGTGGAGCATGCGAATGTGATTTGTTGTTGTTAAAATTACCAAACGGCTTGCCCCCTTCTTGTCCTCCTGTCGCATACAATAATGAACTCAAGTCCGCCATCTCCGTCGTTTTGAGCTGAGCGGCTACGCAGAGCACTGTGCGGCAGCATATGCGCAATGGTGTACGTCGAACTTCTTTCGCACCGTACGTAGGCCACCGTGCTAACGATGATGGGGTCAGCTTGACACACAAAGAATTCGTCATTTCCTCTTTAATGCTGTGTTGCTTAAGAGGCTTTTTTTTGCACGTGCACAGTATAATGTGACTCGATCTTTTTACGAATCGTTGCACTGTATTTGCTACACTATCTACGCGAGCACTGGTGCTCGTAGGTAGCAAATCGTGAACACTTCTGCTCTCGCCGCTGCCACCGCTGCTGATGTGGATTCTAGTCTGAAGGCGGCGGTTTTAAAAGGCGTGACATAGAAGGCGCTCAGGGCTGAAGCGCTCGACTGTAGCATGTGCGGGATAGAATGGGATTCGGACGTTTCCACAAGGCACAAAACACACGGCGTTTGAGGCTGTCACCGCCGCAGCCCAAATATCGTTCATTGGGGCGACGCGGCGTTTTTAACCGCGTAGGAAATGGGCACTCCGCGCTCGTAATTAGACATCGGGTAATGAATGTAATATTTTACGTGGGCAAACGAAGTGATTATGCGAAATCTATTTACGCGGAGAGAATTCTCGTAATGCTTAACGAGACGTAATGAACAAATAATGTTATATTATTTTCGCTTTAATGAGGATGCTTTCTTCGGATTACATTAAAAGGGACCGACGATATTGGACGGGGATGTCTGCTGCCTCGTTGTGCTGCGAGTCGCTCTGCTAATCATTTGTTGGGAGCGAACAGAACCCTAACGACCTCGGCGCTAAATGTAATAACACCATTCCTTTATATTACACGAAATAAATACTCGTTTAACAAGCGAGTGCAAATTTAAATTAACTTTTTCCCTGTTTTTACGATACATCACGTTAATACAATAACGGTGCGGAGACTTTTAGTTTCGCTTATCAATTGTAACTAAAAAAAATGTAACATTCGATTCTGTTAGATGACAGCATCGTGTGGCAATTATAAACTCCACATTGTAGTCCGTATGGACTGCTCATTAAGTACACAGGCAGAACTTATGTAACAAATTCAATCGAGACGCTGCAGAGCCACGCATTTGAGTACATGCATTGCCAGGGCTCCATCGCCTGGAAGGGAGTTGATCTCAACAACAACAGCCACATGGGCAAACTCACGCAGGATTTGTTTAAAGCTACCCTGAACTGCCGATGAGACCCACCAGGTCGAAACCGGTGCAGAGTTGCTTTGCTTAAACAACTGACGCTGTTTAACAGAAGCCCAGAAGGCCGATATGCCGATGGACTTAAAAATAAACGAATTCGTTTGACAGCGGGGACACGGAAGGAAGTCGATTCATTTAGGGAAATAATCTGACGACGCAATAAGCGCCCTAAGCTCATATGCAATGCATTGAAGGGGTCACGGTTAAACATGTAAGGGCTGAGAATACGTGCAATATAGGCTATAACGTTGCTTCCACATGTGCTCCCACTGCTAAACGTAAAGGAGCAGCCCTGCAATTGCTCGCTCATGCCCCTGCTGAGGGGGGGGGGGGCTACCCACACTTTACCCTACCACACGCCGAGAGGGGTGGGAGTTTTGAGAGGTGTGCTGGGGAGGGGGTGGAAATCGAAAAGAAAATGGCTCGCCGGGAGGTTGAATGAAGGCAGTTAACGAATGGTGGACGTCTCCGCAGCAGTGTTAAGTCTGAGAAGTGTTGTCTCGGCACAGACAGCAACAACCCAACCAGCGCGGCAGCGTCCCCGTGCCGACTGCGCGACGCAAACGTGTTGACGCCGTTCAACAAAAGAGCCTCGTCTGAGTTGGGAGGGAGAGCTTCTCATTGGCAAGGCGCTGCCTTTACCCCCCTCCTCCTCCTTCTAGCCCCCCCAGCCCCCACCCCACCGCCACAAAAAAAGGTGAGAAAGAGACGCTAATTTAGAGACGCTGCAGCAATTGTTTAAGCACCGGCTTCTATTGCGCGCGGCTTTTAAGTCACTTGAAGAAGGAGGAGAGAGAGAGAGAGAAAAACACCAGGGAGAGTTTGCTAAGGGGTAAAGACGCTAATTATCCGAGTGTAATGAGACGTGAAACTGATTACTGGTTTGACTTTCCATCAAATCGCCCCGGTAAGGGAAGGTTTATAAAGTGGAGCAAAGAAAGATTGAGAGGGGGGAAGAGAGAGAGAGAGAGAGAGGGGCGGAAGCCACGACAAAGTGACGCGGTAATTGAGACGCGGATTTTCGGCCGTCTTCTTCTTACCCTCCACCAAGGAGGTGAGCAAAGTGACGTTGGCGGCCTTGCGTCGCCCCGCCGGCAGATTCAGACCGATTTTGTCCAATTTTTCCCGTAATGATCTTCCACCGTTCTTCGACTTTGCCCTGTTGAGAACAGCAACAGCAGCACACCACCACACGCATACGCACACACACACACGCGCACACACACGCACACATACACACGCGCACACACGCACAACACGGTTTGTTTGTGGCCGCTTACAATTGGGCTCGTGGTGCGCAGGTTTCAATGCTAGTAACACAAACGAGCGCAAACGCATTCGGCCATAAACACTGCCCTAAAAGGAAAGCATACATAGAAGAAGACGTGAGAACATATACAGCATGATATATGTAACAACGATCTCCCGTATAGCCTGAACAGGCTGCTGGGCCAACTGCTGTTAGCAAGCACCGATGAGGCCAGCACGGCCTTTGTCTCCCCAGTGGCCATGATTTTACACATCGCACCAGGAGAGGCCCAGGTCCGGTTGAGATAATCGTCACCGGGAATCGAACCACGGTCGCCAGGTTCGTAGCGCAGCGCGCTAACCACTACTAGACTCTCGCTCACCACATGTCGATTGTATATAAGACACAACACAAAACAAAGTAGGGCTGAGCGATTTCGGGAAAATATCTAATTGCAATTTTTCTGAGCGATTTGAAATCGATTAATCGTTCGGCCCTAATACAAAGTTCCCCACCGCCCCGGACAGCTTTGAACATACTATTGGGACAAGTGCTGTGAGCGAGTATCTTTAAAGGCAGACAATATGCACTGGGTCGTGATGACAGCAAGTTCCAGCACCCCCCCCCCCCCCACACACACCCTGATGATCTTTAAAATATTTAAGGCTGAGTCGACCTAAGGGAAATGTTGAAGATCGGTTCAGATATCACTCGTGGACCCGGAATCTCTAACTCTGGGAGCCACGTCAGCTATTCACACGCTCACAGTTTATCATGACATTGTTACAGCCCTTTGTCAGAACAACGTGTCGGTCACTCGCGTTGATTGACCATACTTCAACAAGCTGGTGGGTGGACGTGGTTGAAGAAAGGGGTCACAAGGACTGTCCGGCCCAGATATCACTCGCTATCAATGTCAGCTACGGCCGTGAATTGAACTCAGGTGGCCGGAGTTGTATAACGCAGTACACTAAGCATCGCACCACCCCGTGTACAAATACAAAGGTAAAGATCCCCCGTCTAGCCCTTACAGATGCTGTTGGGGCAGAAAACGGCGCACAAGAGGGCGCAGTGGACAAGCACCACGCCCGGCCGCCTTTGTCTCCCTAGTGGCGATGTTTACACACAGCACCAGGTACTCTTTCGAGGCTGAGTCGACCTACGGGGAGGTCCATGACTGGTTCAGACTATTGTCACTGGTGTTGACAGTGAGCGGGAATCAAACTCGGGTCGCCCAGAGGCCCACATTACCACACGTGTCCTAGAAGGGATCACATCTGCGCCCGTGTGTGTGTGTAAGCGACTGTGTAAGCGCGCAAGATTGTGCCCGATTTTATGTGGCACTGTGGCCTGCGCGTAAAGCTAATTGCATGGAACGCTGTCACGTTCAACTTGGGATTTTAATTTCAAACACAGACAAAGTAATTATCGCAATTGTGGAGAGAGCGAATCATTGGTGTCAGCTTAAATATATATTAACGATATGAGCACTTGGTCGAGCAAAACGGCGATTTTTTTTTCCACTCTTTAATGGAAGAGCGTTTCAGAACACGCGTTACTCCGCGCGCGTGTGTGAGATAGAGACTTGTGTACGGTGGGAAGTACAGCGGGTGACGAGCATTGCGAGCTGTAGAGACAGACAGAAGCGTGGTCTCTGGTCTACAGGGATGTCTGCCTCGTAGACTCATTGGTATCCGTATGATGGCTGGTCACTTGGACAGGCAATGCTGCCGCTAAGCAGTTCAGAATGTTCACACTTGTACGTACGTTGGACTTCTTTCGCACCCTACGTGCCCAATCGTGCTAATCGGGGGTGCGCGGGAAGGACAACAAACTAAACACAAAAATCACTTCTAAAGATATGAGCTTCCAATCCAGATTTAAAAGCGCTTAGCTCCAGTGGCTTCCTCATATCGGAAGAGCGTTCCAGACGGCCGCAGAAGCGCATCTGAAAGCGCGCGATGCAGTGCCCGTCTTTGTTCAATGGCCAGCCAAGAGCCGCTGCGAGGATGATCGGAGCTCGCATGATGATTTATGCTCCTTGACGAGATCAACAAGGTGTTGTGGTTATTTTGTGACAAGCACTTGTGTGTGTGTATAATGAGTGCGACCTCATCATACTCATGCACAACACATCCCTGAAGCGGTGAGACTACGCGGAGAGGGCAAACTAGGGAACATCGATCACCCCTTCTGCATGGCCATTGATTATTTACGTACCTCTGCGTCCAGCTGTCGGGTAAGGGAAATGAGCGTTGCCAACCCATTTACCCTGCCGCACGCGATCATCGGAACCACACTGACTCCTCAGTAGTTAACATTGCGATGTAGACTGACACTGCCGGACGCATAGCGGCGGGTGCGAACGGTTAGCGACACGACAATGGCCACACGAGTTCACTTCCCCGTCACTATGAACACCAATGGCGAGTGATAGCTGCATCGATACACCCCACTTCAAGAAAGCCGAACCGGAGTGGTGAAGTATGGTCAAAACAACTCTTCACGACCCACACGGCATCGGGAGGCCTTCTTCCAGCAGTAGATTGACAAATACTGTCATACACTTGTTAATGATATTACAGACTGTAAGCGTAGCTATATGTAGGAAACTTTTACGATGTTTAATCCACATTGTCAGGGGAACAGAGATGATGTATGCAGAAGTTATGCTGCACTAATGTATTCACCACATGTACTCTGAGTGTGTGCCTTCGAAATTATCTCCTGTCGCATCGTTCCAACCAGGCCATGCACAGGTAGAAAATAAATAAAAACACGCTGAATCACTCAGCCACGTTGACCGTAATTTAATTTACGGTTTTCGCGACCTCTTATTTCATTCCGCCGGCGTTGATCGGTGAGGCCTAACGAAATCGCCGTTTTTCGCCGCGCGTAGAAGCGAGACGCCTTGTCGCCGCCGCCGCGTCAAGGAGGCGCTCGGAAAGTCATTTAACGGGGGGGGGGGGGGGGGGCGTTGTATTCCGCCAGCGCACGTGGCAATCACCACGCGCTGGATGCGAACATCGGTCGTGCGGCCACGCGGCGCGCGCGCCCACCCGCGCGCTGATCTGCAATTACGATATCACGTGACCAAATGTTTCCCCCACCTTCCCCCCAAAAAATTCCCCCCACTAGTTACGCCATGAGCTGCTCAGCCAATGAGTGATCGGCAGGTGCCACTTTACAAACGAACCGCGTGCATGTCCAAATCGTCGACGGTTATTGGGCGGAGGGGAGGCAGGCGGGCGGGGGGTGTAGATGGCATTTGGCAAAGATCGGGGCGCCACGGTGTCGAGATGTTAACTACCTCGCCTGGTATACAGAAGGTCGTGGGTTCGATCCCAACCCTGACGCCTGAATATTTATGGTTTTCATGTTCTCCCTGTGGTCGCATGGATTTTTCTCCGGGTCCTCCGGTTTTCCCTCCAAATTTAAGTGTTTGGCTGTTTTACATTTCTCTTTCATAAGCCACTTCGTTGAGCTATCATTTGTGGCCAGGTCGTTTCTTTCAAAAAGCTATATAGCTCAGTGGGCTCAGTGCTCTGCAACACACCGGTGTGCTGTACTAGTAACGAATTGGCATGTTTTGATTACGTGACAAACCTTACTAATTGGCAGTGTCGGGTGGCGGGTTTAACGACACATTTATATTTCCGTGATCTAACCCCCCAAAAATACCTATATCATGGGCCTCACCTGGTAAAATAAAATAAAACATGTTTAGTCTTTAGTTTATAACGTGTGCGCACGGAAGAAGTAGAGGTCATTAAATGATCTCGAGTGAGTCGGTGGTGCGACCAGTGGCCGAGGATAATGACGGAGTGAAAGGCAAAGGCGGGAGAGGTTGGGGGATCGAGGACGTACAATCACCGCCGGAGATGGAGCGGTGGAGGCGCGCACGCTTCTTTTTGGATTATTCATTATCATCCAGGATCGCGAGAGATGGTGCCGCCTCGGGGAGGCCTTAATCCCGCAGTGGATTGAGTGGTCATAGCTTAGGATGACGACGGCGATGATGATGATAATGATGGAACATGTGCGGAAAAAATGTGTCTGCTAAACAGCAAAATATATACCGGGAATGTCAGCATGCTTTGCATGGCTTGATGTCATCACAAATTCCTCTATCTATAAAACTATAATTATGCATGCAGACACCTACCTCTTACGTAATAGTATATAACCTATGGCCTTCACTATTCTCGTGCTCCTTAAATAGCGCGTTTGCGTCGAGCGAGATGAAATATGCTGGGTCGTGTTAGCAAATAAAATAAAAAGCAATTTCTCTAAACATAAATACATTTGTCAACGCGTGTGCAGATGCATCATTCTCCGAGCTGTGTACCTACAGCTTACGGTAGCATTTTATGCAAGAAGCAATTTTATGAAGTGCATTTCCTTATAGTGACAGATTAAACACGGGCGACAAACACAATGCGCTTGACGTATGCTCAAGGACGGGGGAATGAAAGAGCACACGCGCTAAATATATATATACATTTGAATTCAAGCCATCTTAAGTGCTTTTAATACATCAAATTATACGGCCTATTTCACTTCTCCGATTGCTGTTAAGCGCCATACAATACCGCCCACTCTTCAATATCTACACTGCATGTGGCCTGCAAACGATAGCCCCTACGTTGCGTGCTATTTTAGAATTAGTCGCTCAATTACTAAATTGCCCGAAAAGCTAAACGCGCAGGTCAATTACTGAACGTCAAAGGTGCCTTGCCCCCCACCCGACCAACACAAAATAAATTCGTTAATTGCAACCGACGATGACGATAGAGCGAAGTTTTGTTGTCGGAAGCGCCCTCCGCCTGTATGGTGAAGCCGATGTGACGCCGACGCGCCCAGAGAAGCACGAGGCGAGGTTCGTTTCCGTCACGGATAAACCCGCAGCTCTCGGTGCATATTGCAACTGAAATGAGATTCGTCACGCGAGCGCGTCCCTTGCCTCGCTATTTACGCTGGGCAATTGCGCGTGTTGCGCGTGTTTGTCTGTGCGATGTGTTGGTGGTGGTGGTGTTGTGTGTGTTAAAGGAGACAATGGCTTCGATGAAAGGTAAAGATTTGGAAATTGCACTGCCTTGGTGTGCGTGCTTGCGTCTGCTCGCCTGCTCCAGATACAACAACAGCACACACACGCACGCAAATACGCGAGAGAGCTGTCCAGGCCTTCCGATGACACTAAAACACCTGCACGACGCTACTTCTAAAAGGGGCTGTCATCAAGTTGCATGTTGAATGTTACAATAACAACAATAGCATGTCTTAGTATCACTTGATTTACAGCGCTTTGTCAATACACAAGTCGGGGTTACATCTGGTCCGGTTCCCGATCGATGTTGGTTTAACTTTAGCCGCGCACAATATTTCTACGCTGACAGTCTACAACTACTGTTACTAGGTAATTACAGTCATTGCCAATACACCTCCAGACAAAGACCTATCCACGCCGTGTCATGCGTGGAGGTTGTTTGACCATACTTCACTACCCTGGTCAGTAACGGTATTGATGAAGAGTCATGCCTAGGATCGGTTCGGCTATAACTCGTCGTCGTCGCTGACGAAAGCCGTGGTCGAGAATTGAACTCGGTTGGAAACGTGTTGGTATCGTAATGTGCAAACTACAGCGCCACCGCCCCCGCCAATATCAATAACAAAATAGCTGCTGGACTGATGTTAGGCGCTACTTGAACGATAATTTAAAGTGAACCCTGAGACATGTGTACACATTGCGTACCCCACGATGTATTCCACATGTCAATTTGCACGCCATCATCCCTATTAAGAAGACGCGCTACAATACCGTTGTATATGTACCACACATATATATGTATCAACTCTGGATTTCAACGTGAATGCAATGGGCTATGCAGAGTACTCTAAAGTCTCTCCCTCTCTGGCTGTGGGATTTATGTGCACGAACATTTTCAATTGCGGTACAAATAAACATGCCCGCTTTTTTGCAAGAATGGTGAACACGTAAAGGTTTTTTGTTTTGTTCTTGTTACAACGTTATCCATTATACAAGTAATTAAGCGGGCCCAACAAGCGAACAACAATAAGGCATTTGTAAACGTCTCCTTCGTCACCGGTTGTTCAGGGTGTTCTCTATGTAGCGCGGCAGAAAATGTGTTTATGCAACCCAAGCGCGCTCTTTCAAACACCGGCACACACACACAGACTCGCACAACGATCCAGTTTCAACGAAATAAGTTTGTCATTATGGGACAGGTGGTTTCCATAAATAAAAAAGGTATATAGGCTTGAACAATAGTTCAACTGTGCACCCCCCACCCCCGCCTATAAATAATGCAGCGTATATGAACGTGATGACAATAACGGATAAAAGACGCGCAATTAAGAGAGTGGCTCACACTGTCGTGCTAAGAGTCTGCGTGTCTGTGTGTGTGGTTTGTTTGTAAAATACACGGCAAGCGTGGATGGCGGCGCCGCAGCAACGCAGAAGAAACCAAGAGCACGAGTGACCAAATAGTTGCTACCCTGGCTAACATGAAACGTATTCGACATGCAGTTCTGTGCCTCCACTCGTAAACAAAACGCCGCGTTGTTGTAGTCCATCGGCCGATTCGCACGGCCTTCCGAACCAATATTTTCCAGCAGCATTTGTATTGCGCACCGGACCGGTTCGGACCACCTGAGTCTCATCCGCAGCGTCAGGCTTGCTAAACAAATGACACTGTGGTTTGCTAAATATTATTGGCATGAGCACCCCAGGTAAATTATGGGGCCGAGATGTTTGTGGATAGATCTGTGTACCTGATCATTGGTGGGGAGCGGTAGTGTAGCGACTAGTGCGTTGCGCTATGAACCTGGCAGTCCGGGTTCGATTCCCGCTCACGGCCAACACCAGTGACGATTATATGAACAGGTCCTGGGCCTCCCCTAGGTCGACTCAGCCTCAAATGAGTACCTGGTGCGATGTGTAAACATCGTCACTAGGGAGACAAAGGCGGCCGGGCCTGGTGTTAGCCACCCACCCCTCGTGTGCGGTGCCGGCCTTTATAGGTGCTCGCTAACGCCACTTGCCCCTAAAGTCTGTTAAGGCTATATGGGGGAATTTTTTTGTCTGATCAACGTGATTATTTTTTTTAAAGAGGAGACACCGGAAGGTCAAAGTGATTACATGTTCGTCAAACAAACGATTGAGTTCAAGTCAGCACTCGATGGACAAACCTCCTGCCGCTCGCACGAGCAAGGAGTGCACTCTCCTTGTATGTGCACGCTGAGTATGAGCCTCATGCATGTGCACGTTGAGTATGAGTCTCTCGTTGATGGTGAGGCAAGGACTCGGTGTGCATGTTTTTGGCTCACAATCGAGCATCGAACGTCCCCGCGGCATTGAGCGTTTGCGTACGTCTGCAGGCCCTTCTGTCAATCCGCTGCTGGATCAGGGGATGCCCCCATGCTGTGGCGGTCGTGGGGGGGGGGGGTAGCGGGGAGGGGCGGCGGGGTTATATGACCATACCTCACCACCCTGGTCTATGCGGCTTGGTGAAGGTGCTGAGGAATAGAACAGCAGTGGCTTTCGCTACACCGCCCATTCATTCGAGAGCCCAGGTTGATACATTTACAAGAGCATTTAGATGTCAATAGTGTCGACATGCATCTCATCGCACGGATGCCCTCATCTGAGCCTCAAGACTCAGTCCGAGCTGGTATTTAAGATACCTTTGTTCAGGAGATAAATTTGATTGAAACATTTTGCTTTGTGAAAGAAGATTAAAACACACAGATCACCCGGAGAAAACCACACGCATGCGAGGAGATAGCACAAATGCAGCACCAGCAGCGACTGAACAACCCTGTCCACTAACACTGCCATCCTCTGGCTACATCTTCTCTGGTGCAGGCGAGTGTCTGACAGTCACATCATCGCTCAAGCAATCCACACGAAAAGGGGAGGATTGCACCCAGCCACTGGATGAGTTATACATTACAAAGGTAGTATCTAGAGATACAGAGCCTTCTTCTTCTCTATCTCTCTCTACACATACAGTATATATATATAAACCAATGTATAGCTCTTTATCAACCATGGATGGGTGAAGGCCATGGAGACAGATTTCGCAGAAATGCACACCACACACAAATGCAAAGATCCCCCTATAGCCTTAACAGACTGTAGGGGCAAGTGCTGTTAGCGAGCACCTATGAAGGCCGACACGGCACGCGAGGGGGTGAGTTGGCAAGCATCGCGACCGGCCGCCTTTGTCTCCCCAGTGGGGATGTTTAGACACCGTGCCAGGTACTCATTTGAGGCTGAGTAGACCTAGGGTAGGCCCAGGACTGGTTCAGATAATCGCCAATGGTGTTGACCGTGAGCTTGGATTGGAACTCGGGTCGCCGGGTTTGTAGTTCAGCGCGCTAATTTGCTACACTGCCGCTCCCTACACTCAAAGACAACGAACATGAAGACAAATACAAAGATCCCCCCTATAGCCTTAAGAGACTGTTTGGGAAAGTGCTGTTAGCGCATGCACACACACAGAGAGACGCACAACAGAGACACAAGCACGTGGGAAGGGAGTAACAAAAAAAAGCCCCGAGCCGTAGACATTTGTATTGATGTCACGTTTGTGCTGCAACTGTGAGCTACTGCCGCCGCCGCCACTGCTGCTGCTGCTGTGCATCGAGGATGGAAGAGCAGGAAGATGGAGGATAGAGGAGAATGGAGGAGGAGGAGGATGGAGGATGATGATGATGATGGAGGAGGGTTACCTGCGCAGCACTCCGCCCAGGAGGGACGCGTTGAGGCACTCGGGAGGAGACAGACGACGCTGCACCTCGCCCACGGTGACCTTGTACTTGGACGTGGAGCTGAGCAGCGAGAGACGACCGGGCACCGAGCAGAAGATCTCGTTGGGGTTGGAGATGCTGGGGTTCATGAGGCCGTCCTTGCTGGACACCAGCCCCGCGGGCACCCCCCCGTAGGGTTTGCCCGACGCCACGGACGCTGCGTTCGCAACACCAATCAGCAGCAGCAGCAATGTTGTTCGCTTTAGCCGTGCTCATAGTCAATCACGGTAGTTTAGTCATTTATTATGGTACACTTTGGGTGTTTCGACGCAGGAATGTATGTATAGATGTACTCTGTGTACCCTATGTCATGTAAATGAACGAGTTTTGTTTGTTCGATGTATTGTTGTTGCAACGATTGCGTTCTCTCGCTGGGCGAGGTATAAGATTAGATTTTCCAGTTATTCAGTTGGCGCACGAGGGGTGCCAGTGAAGGGGTGACTTGAGGCGTAGCGGGCTCTATGCGGGCTTCAGCGTCACACTCCACGTGGGACGGATCTATTGGTGATGGATCGAGGAAGTACGTGTGTGTATGTATACAACGTGTTTGCCGTGAGACGTAAAGCCATTTAGAACGATATGAACGTCATCCTGGAATGAGTAAGTCATTCAATTTGCTCTTCCTGTATGCCTGTCCGGAACACTGTTGTAGAATACAGAAGTCGTTCAGGCATCGTCGTTATTACGTTTTAGATGGTACCATATATATGTCGAGTTTGAATGTTGTGTTTCGCGATATGCGTTTAGCCGATATGTTATACTATGACTACATAGTATAACATATCGGCTGAAAATGTATACACGAGACACATACTAGCGTTGTTGTATGTAGTACAGAGTTCGAACCACATCGCCTATAGCAGTGGTGCCCTTTCTGAGGGTGCGAAACACGGGCCAGATTTTTTGAGAAGGTAAATCATCGAAACACAAATTGAGCACGGGCACGTAAGTACAACTACTTTGTTCTTCGAACCTCTGTATGTATTAACATTACACTTTTTACGAGAAGCAAATGAGTGTAAGGCTGCAGTAAAGGTTCAGAACCACTGGTCAAGGTTCAGTCGAGGCCACATTAGCAATTAAACCAAGATTCGTGGCGTGACTAGCGTTGCAGCGTACAACTAAATTACCACTTTGGGTTAAAGTAAAACAAACACTAATCTATTGCTATCGTTTAACACAGCGTCCTTACAATGCAGCAAGCGATATCGGTTGAGTTGTTGTCATAGCATGCAGCATTTTTTTACCGTTTCCTTTTTTCAAACATCTGTGTGTAATCAAATTGAGTAGCGCTTGCCGCACGCGTTATAAGCGGGCCGTTGTGATCGCGAGTCAGCCAATTCGCGTCGGCGCCGCAAAGACACGGCAATAGGCTACTTCCATTTGCAAGCTCGGCAGCATGTTACAGAGTTAACCTTTGTCGGTCGCGTAGCGTAGCGCACGCAACGAGCCCCGTTTGCAAACAATGCTCGCCGCAAATGTCGACGCGGACGCGCCTCGTGATTTCAACACGAATGATCGGTGAGGGGTGGGGGGGACAGTTCCGCAAGCATTCCAAACGGTGGAGGTGGTGGGGGGGAGGTCGTAGGCCCTACGAGGCGCTACTGGAGTGGTGGGTGGTGGTGGTGGTGGGGAGGAGCAATGAGAACGTTATGTGTTCGTCTGATGGTAATGCATTTATGGGACCGACCTAATGACCTTGAGGTTAGAGTGTCCGGGCTGTACTCGGTTGGTCGGGGTTTCGAGTCCCCGGTGCCGGCGCTCTGCACCCAGGCGCTTAAAACAATTGGGTACCAACTGTCCCTTTGCGATGCGCAGGGCACTGTAGGAGTGGAAGTTGTGTTAACAACCCTGCAGTGGCGAGAGTCACCCTGTGCGCACGTGTGCGGGATGCGTGCGCTGAACGCGTTGACAGTGTGGCAGCAGCAGCAGCAACAGCAGCTTCAATGCTGTTATATTTGCGCGCATGCGTGCGTGCGTGCGCGTGCGTACGTGCATGCATGCATCCTGGTGACGCGTTGAGCATGGTGAATATATATACTTAAAGCGATTAGCAAGCTGTGATACGAAAAAACCCGGCGAGCTGAGTTCGATCCCAGGCCATGGCTACGACATAGCACCCGTGCGATTTCTGTACATTAATCGGTTCCGCGCCTCCGCTGGGTCGACGTTCAATTTGTAATTGGGTGCGATGTGGGGATTGTCAGCACTTGGGAGCCAAAGGCGGACGGGCGTGGTGCTTTCTTTCTCCCCCCCCCATCTTAATAGGTGCTCGCTAACATCACTTACCCCCAAATTCTATGTTGAGGCTATACGGGAGGTCTTTGTGTGTGCGTGTGTGTACACTGCTCTACAGACTGCCATCTCGCCTTCGAACGCGAGTCTGCATGCGGTGACATTTGGGCTGTAACAGTGACGGTGGCGGGCTATTTAAGAATGTGTTACCGCTGCCGTTCATGATTCACCATACGGTGTTGTGCCATTGCAATAAAACCCTTTTCACTCGGGCTGTACGTCGTCTCAATGGACTCGTTATCTCGTCTGAAGTAGACTGTCGTGAAATGTTGAATAACTTAATTCAAGAAGGATTTGAATTAAAGCGATGGAATTTTTTTTCTGCTCTTGTAATGCAACAGCGTGAAACGTCAGACGCATTTGAATTTCAATTGGGTACAAAGTGTAAGAACGTGTACTGACCGCACTCTGACTGTAGACTGACACTACGTTTTAATTAAGCGGGAGCTATATTCGTGTAATGCGTGACAACGCGCCACGCTATAGCAAACGTATTAATAGCTGCTATTAAGTATATGTAACAAACCGACTGTACATATCACATGTTTATATATATACGTAAATGTGACATGCTCCATATAACAATAACATATCCAACACCACTACCATTAAATTGTTTCAAAACAGGAATTCGTTTTTCTTTTGGCAGCTAACGTAAAAAAAATACCCATTATATATATTTATTGAGAACAATAACAACAGCAGCAGCAGCAACACCATATGTCAAACGCAATATTCGTGATTTATTTACAAATAAGCGCTCGGTGCGTGCCGTGGCATATTTAACACATATATTCTGATGGTGTTACACGTGTACGTGACAGCGGTGTCAAATATAAAATGACCGCGTCTCTAACTCCGTGTGGCTCGAAACGCGTATATCCCCGTCTGCTCTGAATTCCCATGTGATGGATCGCTTCTTCTGTTGCTGCTGCTGCTGCAGTAGTAGTAGTAGGCCCTACACCGCCGTGGCTTGGTCATTCAGAGAGAAGCATCAGGGGCCCTTAGGCATGTACTGTATTATGATTATTATTATTTTTGAGCGAAAGCTATATACATATACATACGTGTGCGCGCGTGTGTGTGTGGTCTTGGGCCGAAAGTGTCGTCTTACTGGCAAAACATTCCGTGCAAATATATATACAAACATACATGCGTGCATGCATAATACATACGTACATGCATACCCGCATGTGTGTATTCTTATACGATTGTCCGTATGTATATTTATGTACACAGAGTATAGACATGAAACCGAAGTCGCCCCCCTCCCCATAGCCTTAACGGACTGTTGGGCATGGTGCTGGCCACCGATTCCCACGTGTGCCGTGCGGCCTTAATAGGTGCTCACTAACAGCACCTGCCCCAACAGTATATACACATCCATGGATACACACACATACATACGTACACACACACACGCGTACGCATATATATACACACAAACGGTGTAAACACGTGCAGAATTGTCTAAATAATAATCATACCATAATAAATTACGCGGATTAATCGCACTAAAACACGGGACAGAATATATCTACGTTATTTATTGTAAGTTCATGCCGCCTCTTAGAATGCACACGCTTCAGGTTCGTCGTGAGTCGCCCCGAGCCGACTTGAGAATCGGGGACTGGGTGCGAGGGGGTAGCTGGCAGTGGGAGGGGGGGGGTAGATGGAAGAAGAGGTGGCGGTGAGGGGGGTGGGTTAAATCTCGGGTATTTTGAGAATAAGGCCCCCCTTTGTTAAAAATATAGATAAATAAATAAAGCCATGGAAAGATGGGGGGAGGGGGGGGGAGACACGCTGATGCATAGTCTGGGGAATAGACAATTTTCGTCGACGCTGTGTGCGGAGCGTGGCCAATGAGGACCCCGGCTGCCTCTCGCCTCGGGTGCAGAAGGCGGCTATGGCGAGGCTGGTGAGCGTTTGGCGTTAACCCTACCGGAAATTACATGCGCCGTCCACATTGAGAACCTGCAACCTGGGTCACTCCGTGGCGGGACACGCTTCCATTTATGAACGCGCTAATGCGTGCAGTTGCTCGCTCGCTCGCTCCGATATTCTCTCGGTGGGGGCACAGCACGGTGGTCGGGTGGCTGGAGAGAGCAACCGCCGCCACTATCGAGGAATGTGCAGTGTTTATTCCTCTGTCTGTGTCTGTGTGTGGAGGGCGGGAAGCGGTAGTGCAACGGTTAGCGCGCTGCACTACAAACCCGGAGACCCGAGTTCGATTTCTGCTAAACGGTCAAAAACTGTGACGATTATCTGAATTGCTCCTGGTCCTCCCCTAGGCCGACTCAGCATAAACTGAGTACCTGGTGCGATGTGTAAACATCGCCACTGGGGAGACAAAGGCGGTCGGGCGTGGTGCTGACCACCCACTCCTTTGTGTGCCGTGCCGGCCTTCATAGGTGCTCGCTCACAGCACTTGCCCCAACGGTCTGTGAATCCTATACGGGAGGTCTTTGTCTTGTGTGCGTGCGTTTATGTCTGTGTGGAGTGAATCAGAGTGCATCTAGCCTGGCACAAGCGCTGCATTGGCGACGCCTTCACTTTGTGGCGAATGGTCGCAGCTGATGTTGTTGGTGCGGTGGTGTTGAGGTTTGCGAATCGCACTGCGAACATATACGATTCGATTATCCGAAACGGTCCTGGGCTTCCTCTAGGTCTACTAGACCAGCGCTTGCCCCAACGTCCTGTGTAGGCTATACGGGCGGAGGTGGCCCCTTTGGCTTTGTGTATATGTTTGTAATAATAGAGACAGAGAGAGCAGATTGTCCAGGAATTCTGTAATGATTGTAATAATTGAGGTCCCGTTGTTTCAAATTCTCCACTTAGCACGCGGATAATGCCCCTGTCGAGTGAGTTCGTGCAGTGTGATTCACTGGCCGTGCAGATATAACGGCGCACAGTTCCGAGTGCGTCTGTGCGGACGTACGTATACGTGTTTTCGTGTTACTTTGCGGACGTCCGTGTGTCTCTGGCTGCGTCTTTGAGTGTGCGCGTTTGTGATCAATTAGCCAGACACGAAGGCGCATATATGCAGAAAGTGTGTCTGTCTGCGTATACGTGTGTGTGTGTTTGTGCGTGTGTGTGCTTTTCATAATTGTAATAACACTCTTTGTATATCTTTGCATGGGCCTAGATGCTCTGCGTATTACTTCCAGCTTAGCGCTCAGCCTGGCTGACCTAAATACACCCTAAGCCGTGGTGCCCAGCACAGAGTTGTATCGCCATGTAGCCTATTTCATATATTTATATTAACGGTCACATTTAATTTTAACCAATTAACCGCAAATGTGAACAACCACCGTATTTGATCACTCGCACACGATTTAGCGCTTAACTCACATCATTCGGTCAGTTAATTGTGTTTACATCGCAGTGCTAAATTAACACGACGCTGCAATCGTTTATTTTTAGTCTTTCTTTTTTACATTTTATAAACTCAAGCGCGTTTTCGATTCTACGCATGGTGTGAATGGAACGTAATTTTCTTTCCGAGATAAGCCGGGTAATTCCGGTTACAAAAGCCCATCTTGTGCGCGTGTCTCTCCTTCTGCTCTAACGCGACACGGCTCTATATACCGAGGAGTACGCGTGACTTATTTACATTGGCTCGTACGAAATAATTCACAAAGATAAATGCTGACACCGTAACAAAGACACTTTTTTTGCGAATAGTATAAAATGAAATAAGAAACAACAAAAAACCCCATCATGGCCAATTTCTATTAAAACCCATTATTTTTTTTGCGAAACATCAAGAGAAGCCCATTAATTGACACATGGCTGCTCTCTCGCGGTTTCTTTTGCATTATAAATTAAGGAAAATAAGCATCGGAATCAAATCGTTATCTTAATATAGCCGGTGGACTGTGAACTGCGTATAATCAGATCACCATGTGTCATGTGCGACGCATACGTAATTCGACACGGGTTTACTCGACACACGGATGCGTGGCCTAAATAATAAGGATACTATATAATACTAACAATAAACGGACCAGGAACACAACAGGAGGGGGAGAGAGTTGCGGGCTAGGGGGGGGGGGGGGCATTCTCCATCCATCCATCCCGTGTGTTCACGCGTTCTCAACTACCACATTTCACTCCGCTCCTCGTCCACCGCTGCTGTTGACTGTGACTCACACAAGAGCAGTCGCGTGGTCGGGGTAGCGGTGTGTGTGGCGTGTGTGTGGCTGGGTGGGATATCCCGTCGCGGTATAACCAGGTCGTCGCAGATGATCGATGGCAGTCGGTATTAATAGCCCAGCAGGGTCTAATACAGGAAATTAGAGACAAATGAGCTCCAGAGAGCTCTAATGAACAGGGCAGAGTTATTATTGCATCACACAGAGGGAGCGAGCGAGCGAGGCGCGAGGCTGCCCGACCTGGACGTGGCAAGGCGCTAATCACACGCAGTCCCGGGGTGGTCGACGCGAACGCACACGGGGCCCTTTTCCGTTGCGCTTTATTCGCAAGATTTGTGTGTTTACAGAAAGAAATCACTACGGCTGTGGGCCGCCAGAGGTGGGGAGGGTGGAGACGGGGGGGGGGGGGTAGGTGGTTGCTCGGCTGGGCTGGGATTACGGGGGAGTGTTGGGGGAGGAGGTGTGGGAGTCGGTTGTGTGTGTGGGTGGGGATATCGCCGGTTCTTTGCCTACGGGCACCGCTAGCCACTGCTGCCTTCCATAAAGCCCAGCGGATTTTCCCGTATCTAGAAAGCCCCCCACCCCCTCCCATCATCAGCATCCTCCTCAGTCTCCTCCTCTCTACGAACAGCCCCCCCCGGCCCCTACAGACAAAAGCTCCACCCCCCCTCTCCTCCTCGCCCTGCCAGTCTCCCTGCACCTGATTACCGCCAATAATTACATCAAGCCCAAATGACTATTAATCAGCGCCGAGCTGCAAATTAGCAATCGAACAACGAAGTGCAATCATTTTTTTTGGCATGCGCAGCTCATTAAATGTTTACAAGCAAACGCGAAGTGAGCGGCGATTAACGTCTTGGCTGTGAGCTGCAATCTATCCGTCTGCGGAATGTCACAAAAAAGAACGCATTCGGGTCGGCAAATGCGCCATTTATCAATTACCATAATCGCCGCGCGAGCGAACGCTCGAATGGGAAGTCTCACCTTTTTTAATGACTGACGGCTCCATAATGTTTATGTTATTCGGATCGTCAACCTGCAACGACAACAACAACAATAACAGCAACACGTATACGAACCGCTGCCATCGTCCCCGCACGCTTTAATAGCGACGCGCGCGACGATCCGAGATGAAAGAGAAAGGCGCGTGTGTGTGGACTGGCGCGCGCCGAGCATGTCATCATCGGTATACGGATTTGCAATTAATGCCGCAAATGTAAACAAGGCCATTCACACGCTGCCACACACAGTACCCCCCCCCCCCCCCCCGAGCTAATTCGAACAATCCCACCTCTGGCTTTAAAGTTTTACCCCCCTCTATACACACGGCAAATACAAGCGACACAGAGACTATATATATACCTGAGCACTGTCCATGAATGATTCATTGTTCGAGCCACCGTTCAGTGTTCAGAAAGCGGTACGGATTGCAGGTGTACGGTCGGACGGGATGACATCAGGTTGGTGTGTGTGTGTACGTGTGTGTGCACAGACGGTGATGTAGCGGGTAGCGCGCTGCGCTACGAACCCGGCGACCCGAGTTCGATTCCCGCTCACTGTCGGCACCAGTGACGATTATTATCTGAATCGGTCGCAGGCCTCCCCTAGTTCGACTCTGGTGCGATGTGTAAACATCGCCACTGAGGAGACAAAGGCGGCCGGGCGTTGTGCTGACCCACCCACTCCCTCGTGTGCCGTGCCGGCCTTCATCAGGTGCTCGCTAACAGCACTTGCCCCAACAGTCTGTTAAGGCTATACGAGGGGGGGGGGTGAATTTTTGTCTTTGTCTTGCACAAACGTAAACGCTGCAATGCTCAAGTGCCCCTAAGATAAACTCCCAGATGACCAAAGTGAGCGCACGCGTGCAACGCGAAACGCAGCAGAGCGGGTTGGACAAAGCACGCGCTATTAATTATAATGAGGGTGAGGCAGCACCAACAATAGCGATGCTTTCGCCAGAGATAAGTCCGACAATAGCCACAACGCGATATTGTCATCTTTCAACCAACCCGCGTTGACCACCGTGGTGAAGTATGGTCAAACGAAAGAACATCCCATGATCGATATTTGGCGTGTGACGACCTTGAATCCATGGGTGGGATTGAGAATATTTGGACTTTCATATTTGTTATCATGATCATAAGAAATAGTGTGCTGATACAACTGAACAGATATATATATGGTGTATGACTGTTTTTGTTTGCGGGAGAGAACTTGCGTTCCAACATCTTTCTCATTCTCATTTAGGCGTCGAGGGCGGGTATCCCGGGACCGCCGGTCTCGGTTGATTTTTAAGGAAGGACCACAAAAGAACCAATGTGGCTGGCCCTCGTTTGTAAAGTTCAATTGTTGTGTGCACGTGCTGCCGACGTCACAGAGCGGCAATTCGACGCGTGTAGGTAGCGGCGCACGGAGAGAGCTTTATTATTTTTTTGCAAACAAAGTTTGATGAGGTATATAAGTATGTCTTTTTTTTATTAGTAATCTATCGTTTTTGGAGCGTTACGTTCAACATTTCTGGGTTTGTTCCTCGATGGCAAATACTGTGCACGCTTTGGGACACATTATTTAACGTCTGACGTGGGAGCACATGCTGAGAAGTAACAACAACAACAATCATCATCATCATCATACAAAAACCACTCACGGTGTCGTGGCTGTCTCAATTCACGTAAAAAAAATTGGGAGTGATTAACGGCGCTGTTTACAAAAAAATCTCGCAGGCATTACCACACGCGCGGCGTACATCAACGACCCACACAATTACGAGACGATTACCACACGTGCGGCTAAATTAATCTGCTTGGCGAGATATCCGATGTGTATATATGTATTATTTAAGAAAAAGGAAATACAAATGTCTGCCCTGATTGCGCTTGCTTGTAGTTAAAGATGATGCATCCCTTTTAGGCGACTTTCAAAGGCACGCGCTTATCAATTATAAAATATTGCGCTGTATGATTAATGAGGATTTAACAGTGGATTTAAGAAATTATAATCAATAATTGATCTTGTCGTTTCGGCAATTTTATCCCCCAAAAATTGTACATATGGGCAGACAGACACCGGATGTGGCTCTTGGTTATAATATCGACTGTGCGCGTTGTTGTTTGTAAGGATTTTTATTTTACAAGCGGCGTTAATGTTCAGGAATATTGAGGAATGGGTGACGAGTTGCCAATTCTGCTGGTGCAATTAGATTATCGTAAACGATGATGATGATAATGATGATAATGTATTCGTGATGGGGCCTCCTTAAAATGACTTACATCGCATGGCAGTTGCGAAAAAAAATCCCACACCGCTCACCATCATTGGCGAAGCGTAACTTCGAAGCGGTGCTGTTGCGTAATGATTAACGCGTTAATAAACACAAATCTAATTTGACAGTCCTATTAAAACAAACATTGCGTGACAACTGCGCTTCGCAACTCCGTTGAACGTCAACGAATTGATGCAACGACGCGATCAGCTGCTTGCGGTTTGACACGTGGAGTTTTATCCTGCTGCTTTATCCGCGGTTCGTTACATCGCATTCTCGTCATATGAAGTAATAGGAATTCCAGTGCATTGTATAAGCATGTCACCTTATAATTTCAGAAGGTAATTGGAAAACAAAAACGCCTAAACGTAAATGATATATATTTGTTTACAAACGAAGCCGTCATAAATTACAACAGTTTTAAAAAAGAGGATATCAGTGACACTTCGGATGCAATCTCGCTAGCCACACGACATACGTTATAAATATATGTACATAAAAAAAACACCCCACGTTGTTTCTCTCGTTATACATTTCAATATTCTGCCAATTAAACTCTGCAAGGCTTTGCACAAGAATCGCATGAGCAACTGACAATACGACGGACAAATGTCGCGTTATACAAAGTGTTCCGTGATGCATCTCGCAGGACAGATGTCAAGCTCAGCGAGTGAACACCACACAAAGACACACTCAGAGACACAGACAAAGACCACCCCCGTATAGCCTTAACATACTGTTGGGGCAAGTGCTGTTAGCGAGCACCTATCAAAGACGGCACGGCACACGAGGGGGTGCGTGGCCAGCACCACACCGGGCTGCGTTTGTTTCCCGAGTGGCAATGTTTACACACCGTACTAGGTACTCATTTGAGGCTGAATCGACCTAGGGGAGGCCCAGGACCGGTTCATATACTCATGACTTATATTGGTCGTGAGTGGTAATCGAACCCAGGTCGTCAAGTTCGTAGCGCAGCGTTGCTGACCGGTACACTACCGCTCCCCACAAAGAGACACACACCCAAAGACACACTGACACCACACACCCAGAGACACACTGACACACCCAGAGACACACTGACACACACAGAGACACACTGACACCACACACCCAGAGACACACTGACACACACAGAGACACACTGACACACACAGAGATACACTGACACACAGAGACACACTGACAACAGACACACAGAGACACACTGACACACACAGAGACACACTGACACCACACAGAGACACACTGACACACAGAGACACACTAACACCACACACCCAGAGACACACTGACACCACACACACAGAGACACACTGACACACACAGAGAAACACTGACACACACAGAGACACACTGACACACACAGAGACACACTGACACACACAGAGACACTGACACACACAGAGACACACTGACACACAGAGACACACTGACACCACACACACAGAGACACACTGACACACACAGAGACACACAGAGACACACTGACACACACAGAGACACACTGACACACAGAGACACACTGACACCACACACACAGAGACACACTGACACACACAGAGACACACTGACACACACAGAGACACACTGACACCACACACCCAGAGACACACTGACACCACACAGAGACACACCCAGAGACACACTGACACACACTGACACACACAGAGGCACACTGACACACACAGAGACACACTGACACCACACACCCAGAGACACACTGACACACAGAGACACACTGACACATACTGACACACACAAAGACACACTGACACCCCGAAACACACTGACACACCCAGAGACACACTGACACACACAGAGACACACTGACACACACAGAGACACACTGACACACACAGAGTCACAGGTGTACAGAGCCGTACACGCACACCACACACAAAGAGACGAACACATACAGAGAAAAAACAATGACACAGACACCCACAGACAAAACAAAATCCACAGATACGCGGACACATACGCAAAGACAGACACGTTGACACAAACACGAAGATATATACACAGACAAACATATAGACAGATACAAAACAATGACAAAGATTCCCGGTATAGCCTTCATAGACTTTTGGAGCAAGTGCTATTAGCGAGCACCTTTGAAGTCCGGCAAGATATACAAAAGGGTGGGTGGCCAGAACCACGCCCGACCGCCTTTGTCTCCCCAGTGGTGATGTTTGCACACAGAACCAGGTACTCGTTTGAGGCTGAGTCGACCGAGGGGATGCCCAGGACCGGTTCAGATTATCATCACTGATGTTGGCCGTCAGTGGGAATTTAACTTGGGTCGCCGGGTTTGTAGTGCAGCGCGCTAACCACTACACTACCTGCTCCCTACAAGATAGATATACACACAGAGACACAGGCACAGACTAGCATATTTACGTACATACAGAGAAGCAAACACGAATAGATACAACACGCATATAACGACACACACACAAATACACACAGACACACACACACAAATACACACACACAAATACACACAGACACACAAATACACACAGACACACACACAAATACACACAGACAGACACACACAAATACACACAAACAGACACACACACACAAATACACACACATACACACAGACACACACACAAATACACACAGACACACACACACAAATACACACAGACACACACACACAAACACACACACATACACATACACACACACACAAATACACACAGACACACACACACAAATACACACAGACACACACACAAATACACACAGACACACACACAAATACACACAGACAGACACACACACAAACACAGACTTACACACAGACACACACACACAGACACACACACAAATACATACAGACACACACACAAAGACGAGTGCCCTTACCGAGCATCGACACACACTCAGGCATCCAAACAGCCACACGCGCACACAAAGACAATGATGTCCCCCTCCGTATCCTGAACACACTGTAGGGGCAAGTGCTGTTTGCGAGCACCTATGAAAGCCGGAACGGCACACGTGGGGGTTGGCTGGCCAGCACCACGCCCGGCCGCCTTTGTCTCCCCGAGTGGCGACATTTACACACCCGACGAGGTACAAGGCGTGCGGACACCTCCACCCACCACCACGGCGCTGACGACGGAGCGCGCGCTCCGAGCACGGTCGCCGGTGCGTACCTGAACCTCGTCGATGCCGTGGTGCCCTAATCCGGCGAGCTGCAAGCCGTCGAGGCCGGACTCCATCGACTGCCCTCCGTGAAGCGCTTCGGGCCGCCGCACCGACGGGAAGTCGCCGCGCCGATGCGGCTCCAGGCCGGCGCTGAGCTGCGGCAGCCCGCGGTGCTGAGCCAAGAGCCCCGAGTCTCCACGCATGTCGCCTCCATGCCGCTGCTGCCAGGGACTCTGTTGCTGCTGGTGGAGGACGTTCAGGTAGGGGTCGGCCACGTGCGAGTAAGGGTCCTGCGACTGGTGGTAGGGCAGCGGCTGGTAGGGAGGCGGGAAGTAGGGAGGCTGGAACTCCGGGTTGGGAGTGTGAGACAGCGGAGGCGCCTGGTACGGCGACTGGCTGATGGCTCCGAGCTGCGTGAGTCGGCTGGCTCCGTGGCCGCTCGGCACCTCGTGCCGGTCCTGGAAGGGAGAGGTGTCGGGGAGAAGGGCAGAGGGAGTGGAGAGGGAGGGAGCGAGGACGAACGCGAGGTCACTGCGACGGCCGGGGTGGTTGTCGTTGTTGGGGTTAGAGACGGAAGCAGAATCGGATGGAGAGCCGGAGAGAGACGGAGAGAGCCGGAGAGACGGAGATGCGCTGCACGCGAGAGACCGTCGATTCCGATGGTGCGCGCGAACGACAGCGAACCCCTCCCGCCTCCCACCAAAAATATCAACAAAGTTGCATCCGCTGCGGCGATGATGATGATGGAGAGCGCAGAACGACTTCCTCGCGTAGCACTTCTGATTTTCTTTACACCCCCCCCCCCCCACTATCCCCATTCACTCCCGCAAACCCCCCCGGCCCTTGTCCGAGAGAAGTAAGACGAGTGCTATACGAGCTCACAACTCACCATGGCTTTGTAACTGTGGACTAACATGTCTCGAGTTGTTAAGTCAATGTCCGCGAAAATTCAACCCAGCAGAGGCTTCGTGCGGAGAGAAGAAGCGTTGATCGAGCTTGGGGGGAGGGGGGACAACCAGAAGGCGAATGTGGCTCTCTTTTTTTTAGTTTGGAGACTTTTGGCCGAAGGGCTACTGTGGTGGCTTCTCTCTCTCTCCCTCTCCTCTCCTCGTCTCGTCGGCGAGTCTCAAGACTCAGAAAGCAAGCAGCTTCTCTCCACCCACCGCCCTCCTACCGACCCACCCACTCCGTTCTCTTCGCTCTCTCCTTCGGGGCGCTTCGACTAAAACCGGCCGACCATCAACTCGGAGCGAGCGGTCATGACTCGCTGTTCGTGTGCGGCTCGAGCGAGCGGAGCGAGAGGAGGCTTTGAGCGCGTTTGGTTGACGATGCTGCTGATGCTGCTGCTGATGATGCTGCTGCTGTTTGCTTGCGTGCCCGCGCGCGGACGCCCCGTCGGGAGTGACGCGTCGTGTGCACGACGATCGCGCTGTCTAATCACAGAGCGAGGCCCTCCGCCGCGTCATGAATAATGAACGAGGCGAGACCGAATTGCCCACCGATTTACAAGAAACCGAGCGATATAAACACTGAAACTGCAATCCCTCCGATGGCGCTTAATTAACTTTCAGCGTCGCCGGGACAAGTACTTTGCGCGTGTGCCGTGAGTCGTCGGCGTCCACGTGTGCGCGCGTCTCTGCGTGTGGGGAGCGGCAGGGTAACAACGGGCTCGCGGTGAGCGTGCTGCGAGTTCGAGTGCCGCTCACGGCCAACACCGGTGACGATTATCTGAACCGGTCCTGGGCCTCCCTTGGGTCGACTCAGCCTCGAATGAGTAGCTAGTGTGCGGTGCGTGAACGTCGCCACTCGGGAGACAAATGCGGCCGGGCGCGATGCTGGTCACCCACCCCCTCGCGCGCCTTTCCGGCCTTCACCGACGCTCGCTAACATCGCATGCCCCAACAGTCTGTCACAGGCTGTTTGGGGGATCTTTGTCTGCTGCGTGTGTGTCTGTGTGTCCGTGCTTGTGTGCATTCGTATCCGCGGCTCGTAATTTTTTGTCGTTTTGAGTTTTTGTTGTTCTGTTATCTCGTTGTGTCAGCGCTGCTGTTGCGATGCGCCCGCATTTTCTTAAGTCGCGTCCCTTTCTAGTCGAGTTGTGTCAGGGCAGCTCTCCCTCTCCTCCCTCTGTAGCCGAGGATTAGAACATTGCATTCAGTACATCGTGCAGTGTTTTAACTTGGCCAATATAAACGACATGGGGATACTTTATCTGTTAACATTCAGAAGCGTTCAGTAGTTGAGTATCTCGCTCTCTCTGCACGGGGAGCGAGCGCGTCTGATGATGACAATGCACGGTTGGCGATGTACGGTGCTAAAGACGTTCAACATACATCGGAACTAACTTATTGTTTCCCGCAAAAAAAACACTTTTACTAATAATGGTCAAACGGCCTTTCTGAGACATTACTCAATCATATAGACATCAACCTCATTATCATCATAGGTCCATTTTCATTTCTCGCGACCAATATTATTGTTTTGAAATAAATATTACGGTTATATATACGTATTATTTTAATACCACGAATTAATTGGCTGCATCTAACCCTTCTGAATATACTTTACGCATTCAAATCATGTTTAGAAATACGTATATTATATATAAAAAAGTAAGTTCGGAACTTATAATTTAAATTAATCGTTCGATAAAAAGGGATATTTAAACCAAAATGTACATGAGCTCGAGTGGCACGGAACGACTGCGATTGTCACTTGAACCTCCTGTCCATGATGCATGCAGTCACAAAGACAAATATCACCGTATAGCATTTAACAGACTGTTGGGGAAAGTGCTGATAGCGATCACCTACGAAGGCCGGAACGGCACACGTGGGGGGGGGGGGGGGGCAACACCACGCCTGAAAGCCTTTGTCTCCCCATTGCTGATTTTTACACAACACACCAGGTACTAATTTGACGATGAGTCAACTTAGAGGAGGCCCATGACCGGTTTAACATATTCACCACTGATATTCGTTGTGAGTGGGAATCGTGCTCGGGTCGTCGGGTTCTTGTGCTAACCACTAAACTACCATATTCTTTGGTTCTTTCAGTAAAGTCACGTAGTGCTAACCACTAAACTACCACTAAAGACTTAACACACACACACGTGTAAATACACACGTGCGCATACACATGTCTATGTGGTATGTGAGCATATGCACATTCGCGCACACGTGTCGATATACATACGGCATTTCCAGCTTCCAACAATACACGGAGCTTCTCCAACACATTCATTTTAATTCTGTTGATTATACAAAACATCTAAATTTCCAAAGCGGCTTGCGAAATGCATCGATATATTTAATATATTAGTTCATGCATTACGTGGCATTCTAAGTAATACGCGGTGTTATTGAATCGTGCGTATTGCGTGATAAGTGAGTATGCAGTGATTACAATAACGACGAAACTATTATGAGCACGTGACATGCATATAGTCAAATATAATTTAACCCCGTTAAAACGTCTTCTGACATTGCAGCTTCGTTTGTTACACGCGAACACACGCGCAGTGTTTTCTGTGCGTGCATTTTAAACATTGACTTCACACGAAACAGCACTGTTTTTACCATGCAATGTCAGCTAGATTAATCAAATGTACCACATTCTGTACGTTGTTTTTTACGTTCCTAAAGAGGTTTAACCAAACACGAACGGATCACGCTTTACTCATGTTTTACATCACGTTATAGTCGCATCATCATATCAGCACCCATTATAAAGATTACTCTATCGTGTATCTCCACGTATAAATTAAATATACGTTGTGCCCACCAGCGCTTTTTTAGACTTTCCAGAAAAACATTATATTCACCCTCATTTATTTTTTAAGCAAAGGAAACTTGAGAGCGGTTTCGATCCTCTGGGTCTCATCAGCAGCGTCAAGTTTGTTAAACCAAACTCTGACAGATTACCGGATGCTGCTGGAATGTCGTAATGCATTCCATACAGGACGACGCGACTCCAAAAAGGCGCAAGTCGCGAATCTGTGTAAATCTACAGACTTCACACGCGCAAGTTTTGTATACGGGGTGCAAGACGGCGCGCTCCGAACGCGACGGGTACGAGGATCGTACGGAGCTCCACACGGCGCGAAATGACTCCGCGGCTACGCTCAACACAAAAGGCAAGAAGTTTCCGCGGGCCGAAACCCAGGGAGTGGCATGGATCATTAGGCGCGGGACAGACAAGCAGCCGCAAAAAAAACAGACGCGGATTAAGCAAGCGCTTTATTGTAGCCCTACGTCCCACAGGGGATATAGAGAGGAGTAAGTAAGTTGAGAAAGTCAAACGGGGAAGTCATACCTCGTACACCTCGTCGTACTTCATTCTATCGGTAAGTTTCCACAGCATGGTGGCTTGAAGTCTTGTCCCCCCACGTTGTAGAAGCGACGTGATTGCCTACAGCTACGTCTCGAGTTAGACCTCGTCCTCTAGCTACGTTCAGCTTGCGTAGTGATATCGAGACGACGGCGGCGGAGTGAGTTGGTTTGCGAGTGAAGCAGCAACAGCAAACAACCGTCGCGTTGCTGTTGCGGACGCGGCCCCGTGAGAAGTCGGCGAAGTAACCAGCAACCAGCGCCGCACATTCACGGCGACGTGCCCAGATCTCCCTCTCACGGCCACTAAGCCACTTCTCTGCGAGCTGGGATCGTGACAAGCCTCCTCCACGCACACCACCCCACCCCCTCTACGTACCACCCAGTCCCACCGCTTCCCCCCCACCACCACCAACCCCCCCTCCCCACCCCCCAATCTCTCGTCCTGCGAGCCCCGCGGCTCAAGGCAGTTTTCCGGGTGAAGGCAAAGAGCGTGTTTGTGTGCGCTCCGCCACCGTGTGCGCACGCGCTCCCAGAGCCGCGTGTGCAACGCGATATACACACTGCAGTCCGCGCATCACCAACATCACCACCAACATCACCATCACCACCATCTACTCTGTGATATACACACTGCAGTCCGCGCATCACCACCATCACCACCTGATCACCATCACCACCATCATCTACTCTGCGATATACACACTGCAGTCCGCGCATCACCACCATCACCACCTGATCACCATCACCACCATCATCTACTCTGCGATATACACACTGCAGTCCGCGCATCACCACCATCACCATCATCACCATCACCACCATCATCTACTCTGTGATATACACTTCGCAGTCCGTCATCATCACCATCATCATCACCATCATCTACTCTGTAATATACACATCGCAGTCCGCGCATCATCACCATCATCTACTCTGTGATATACACATCGCAATCTGCGCATCACCATCACGATCATCATATGTTATAGTCGTTGTTTTAGAAGCCATAACGTATGAATAATCGTTACCATCAAGTATGTCATGATCACCATTATTGTTCTTTTAAATCCATCATCATCGTTATGTTGATCATCATATATGTCTTACATTATCATAATCGCCATCATTCCATTATGAATGTTATCTGTCATATATCATCATGATCATTCATAAGTCGTTTGTAAATAATCATCAAGATGATCATCAGTCTTCTAAATATAATTTGTCTCAGCATCATCGTCGTCGTCGTCGTGAGCTGCCATTGCTCACACACGCCACGTGTGCCTACAGCGCTGCGCACAGACACAGCCGCGCGACAGCTCTCGACAGCCAACGCCGCGCGCCCGCCGCCGCGACGAGAGCGCGCGCGAGGCTCGCCGCTGCGGGGTCACAGCGAGCGCGCCGCGCGCGAGCATCGTCGGCGGTCGGCGAAAGCGCGCGACGCCAAAACCCCCGGCACACGCGGGGGGCGGGGGGATGGTGGAGGTAGACGTCGCGAGCCGCCGTGTTTAACGCAGTTGTTGCCCCACTGCTTTTGCGCCACGCGAAAGTCTGGGAGCGAAGTGCGGCGGTGATGATGATGGTGATGAGAGCTCTAACTGCACCGCCGCTATTAAGTGAAGCCGCTCCGGGCACTTCTGTAATTCTGTGGCACCAGCAAACATCTTTCACTCCCCTCTCAGAACCGCAAATCCTCAGACCTTCTATGCTTCACCCCCCGCCCCCCATTCATGCCTTTGCCTGCCACCTCGGCCCCCCCTTAGCAAGCGAGGGAAGCAGACTTCCTTTGTGCGACGCGCGTGGCCGTCGTCGTTTAACGCGCGCGCGTTCGCGCCGTCTCGTCGTCGGCACGGCACCCGCGTCGCGGCGGCGCGGCGCACGAAGAGGACTCGGAACGGAATGAATCTGTCCACGATGTACGACGCGGACGGCTAAGCTAGCCGACGGTGCGTCGTGTCCTCACTCTCTATTTGTCTCTACCTCGCCGATACTAACAATAATATCACCGTTAGTCGCAAACGCGCTGTCTGCAGTGAGCCGTAGGC